ACAGAATTAAACTTCATACTCACCCTAATGATTTATTGAACGATTAAAAGATTATTGTTAATCGTACATTGTCTTGAAACACAACCATTAAAGTTAACAGAATTAAGCTTCATATTCACACTGGTAATTTATTGAACGATTAAATAATTACGATCATAGATTCACAGGTGAATGAGGGCAAATTGGGCATCACGTAATCCCGATATGAACCTGATTTGGAACAGATATTTGGCGCAAATATGAGACCTTTAGGAGACAAATCAGGTTCAAATAAGCATTCAATACAAATTAGAATTTAGATAGCTCTATTGGTAATTCGATAAAGCTATAGGGCAAGCTTTGTTAATTTACCAATAGAGCTATCAGTATACTGATATACAGTGAATGTCTATATGAACCCGATTTGTATCATAAAGGTTCCCTATTTGCGCCAAATATTTGCTCCAAATCAGGTTTATATCAGGATTACATAATGTTGGTTTGAGCCCAATTTGTCTTCATTCGACCTGTGATTGTCTTAAGATGCAATCGCAATTCCCAAATAATAACAATATCCAGCTTTATACATTCCGTTTCATTAAAGAGAACAGAATTAAACTTCATACTCAATCTGGTAATTTATTGAATAATTAAATAATTACAGTTAATCATACATTCTCCTAAAACACAATTGGTAAAGTGAACAGAATTAAACTTCATACTCACTTTGGTGATTTTATCGAGCGTTTAAATGATTATGGTTAATCATACATTTTCTGAAAACTATCGTTAAAGTGAACAGAATTAAACTTCATACTCACCCTGGTGATTTATTAAACCATTATCATAATTCATAGATTAATTATAAAAAAACATGTATTGTTTTTTTTACATCTTGGTTATGTTTTTTAGAGATGGTCAATCAAAGATAGATGCAAATGATCCAGAATATTGCAATAGTCGCAGATTTGACAATCACACGAATGATTAATCAGAAAAATGCTTAACAGTTATAGTCATCGAGAATATCGTAATAGCTACTTATGTTTACCAATTTCAATCAAGAACGTTTAACGGACGAACTCAGAATTAGATGGTTTAGAAAAATGTCGCAATAGTTACAGTTTTGATAATCATGCGGATAATTAAGAATGTCGCAGATTTGACAATCACGTGAATGATCAATCAGACAGATTTAACAATCGTGTGGATGATTTGACAATCACATGGATGATCAATTAGAAAATTGCAGAACAGTTATCGAGGATATCTCAATTCACAGGTAACCAATCAAAAATGGTTAAACGGATGAACCCGATATTATTGTGATCAAACAATTGTTAATGAATTTAGATTGTAATGACATCCTTGATTATAACTTGCTTTTTGATATATTAGTCTTAAGATTTAGATCACGTTTTTTTACAACCAATCAAATGTTAGAGTATACACTAACTTAATTGCTGAGGTCCCAATTGCATTTCCAATAGCCGCTCTTTATTAAGTTAGCGATTACTGTTTGTGAAAAGTTACTCAGATCATACTAACCCCTTTAATAATCCGGAGTTAAACTTATTCTGGTCGATAATTTTACGAGACACATTAGCATCTTTTTGATCTGTTGACTCTACATCAACGCGATAATTGCTGAGAAACATATGATTATCAGATAATCTAGGTGGCAAAAATTCCGGGCAAAAATTTTTAAAAAATGAGAAAATCTACAAATCAACCATCTAAATCTATAGCGGGCCAATAAATTTTCTTAGTATTTGGCCAATATACTATTTTGTATAAATTTTCTGTTTTTTTTTTAGCAACTGCAAAGCAGTTGTTATTGTTATTGTTATTGTTATTGCACTTGCACTTGCAAGAACAATTGCATATTGAAAGAGGCTATACAAAACGCTTTCAAGTTTGTGAAACATGTAATTTACTTTTTTAGCCATTTTTTCGCTTAAATTAGTTTGTACCATTAGATAATCACATAACATCAATTAAATTTGGCCAAAGCAAATCAAATTTGGCAAATTAGAGTTACACAATTTCTAGTGAGTTGTTTAAGGGCGTTAAATGTTAAATATTAATAGCTTGTGAAACCAAATAAAAAACAAATCTACCAGGTTTGTTTCTACTATAAAATCTAATAGTTTATGTTTATGAATCTGATAACCTCTCAGTAATAATACAAAGACTGTTCACTGCATATAGGTTTTGAGATATCTATATTATACGTACAGGATTACATAATGCATCATGTGACATAATGCTGCATTATGTGATGCAATACTCAAAAAACTTGCATTCGCATATCTCTAGTTCTTAATCACCCTATTAAATGATTTCTTATATAATTATTTTATTTCAAGCCCTAAATAGAAACTATTTTACATTATTTCACTTAACCTGATTTAGTGTTTAAAATGAAATAATCGATATTTTAAATTCAAAATGAAATATGATAGAAATTATATTTTGTATAATTTTATTGTAAGAATTTAATTTAATTTTTTTAATAGTAGTTAAATAAAAAATTTGTAATGATTATGGATATAGTTATGGGTATTTGCTTTACTAGTAGAATTATTTATTTTCGAGTTATATGTACTAGTAATATGAAAGTATTCTTGCAACTGATTGAATAGTAGGCATATTACTTGCTTATAATAACCTTAATTCTTATTCATAATCTTATTGGCTAGTATTATATCAGTTCCAGTAAAAACTTCACTAGAACAACTGGAACACTGAAAATATCTGGACGTCTAGCTTCTAGTCAACAATACTGATATATACTATATATTAGAAATATATATACTATAGTTGCATTTAGTATTATAAAATGATTCAAGTTGTTTAATAATAATAAATAAATATTTATTAATTTGTTTTAGATTAATATAGTATATTTATTGGTTCCTGGCTTAGTACGATAACTTATGCAGAGAATACATTATTATTTTACTATTCTTAAAAAAATTTTATTAGTGATCATTAAAAAATTTATATTGTATACAATTAATAATGATGTTCTTATGAGAACTCTGAGAACACTAATTTCAAATACTGGGTATGTCTATTTAATTTTCTGATTTGTATTTTAAACTAGAAATATATAAGATCTTTTATACTCTTAATTATTTTTGAAATAGGTTAATTTTGAAATCTTTTAATTTTAATTCTTAAGTTTTTATTGATAATATTTAAAATATAATATATTAAAGTTATTAATTTTTGTAAATTTTAGAGATTTTATATATAGATAATTAACATAATAATTAAAAATGACTAAATGTCAATTTAAATCTTTAATTTTATAGAAATTATCAAATTTTACTATTATTTATAAATAAAAATTTAAATTTTAATGTTAATATTTTCAATATAGTGCACAACTAAATTTATATATGCACTAGCAACCCTAATTATAGTGTTTCTGCATTATGGCTTTACGTCAATTTGGCATTCCGGCATTACAGCTTACAGCAATTATAGTAAAAAATATGGTATATGCCTAACTGTATTAATTTTTAAAATTAATTCTACTACCAACTATACTCTGGGATCCGATCAACTCACAAACAATCACTTCATAGATACCACATTTACTAACAATTACAAGTTTATTTTACTGACAATTTAGTTTACTTTATTGAAGCTCATTTTATAAACAAAGTAATTCTGGTCGATATTAAAGTTAGTATAATTTATAAAAAAAAACTTGTCAGTGAAATGAGCTTTAGTAAAATAGACTGTCAATAAATAATTGTCAGTGAAATATGGTGATTATTGGTGAAATAATATGGACACCCATACTCATGGATGCTTCAAATTAACACAGATCCTAATGACGCACATCCTAATGTAGCATATTATTTATTGCTGCAACAGATAAACGCATGTTACTTTTTCTATAATGATAAGTGCGTATAATTTGATTGGTCTAATGTAATTATTTAATATATTATATTTAGAGAATTGATATTTCCACACCCCTATGTAGATCATTTTTTTTAAATCTTTGATCGAAGATATCTCGACACCCACCTAACTAAATTCGATCACCTTTTTTATTTTAATTATAGAAAGCCATAGAATACAAATAAAAAAAAGTCAATCGAATTTGGTTAGGTGGGTGCCGAGATATTTTTGATCAAAGCTTTTGTAAAATTTAAAACGTCTATCAAATATAAGCTGTGGCAAAATTGTTTACAAACTTTGATTGAAGATATCTCGGCTCCCACCTACCCAAATTCGATCAACTTTTTTTAATTTAAATTATAGAAAGCTATAGAATTCAAATAAAAAAAAGTTGATTGAGTTTGATTCGTTGGGTGTCGAGATATCATCGATCAACAGTTTTGTAAAATTCAAAACGTCTATCAAATATAAGCTGTGGCAAAATTGTTTACAAACTTTGATCGAAGTTATCTCGGCACCCACCTGACCAAATTCGGTCACCTTTTTTTTATTTAAATTATAGAAAGACGTAGAATTTAAAGAAAAAAAAGTTGATTGAGTTTGGTCAGGTGGGTGTCGAGATATATGCGATCAAAGGTTTTGTAAAATTCAAAATGTCTATCAAATATAAGCTGCAGCAAAATTGTTTACAAACTTTGATCAGGCACCCACATGACCAAATTCGACCAACTTTTTTTTCTTTGTATTCTACAGCTTTCTATAATTAAAATAAAAAAAGTGGTCAAATTTGGTTAGGTGGTGTCAAGATACCTTCGATCAAAGTTTTTTTAAAAAAATAATCTACATAGGGTGTGGAAATATCAATTCCTTATATTTATTTTCCATAATATTTTCATATTAAATATTTTATAAATGCACTTTTGCCCAACAATATAAATTTAATGAAGATCAACTGTATTGAATTTAGAAAATCTTCTCTTATTTTGAATAACACACATGGGTATATTCAAAATAATGTGCAGGTTAATTAATTAGCACACAGGTATATGGTAAGTGGCATGTTCTATGGCATAACAGATTTTTTAGCTGTGCCACTTATCCTAGGAATGGTAAATAACCTGAAATGATCTCATAATCTATGAATAAATTTGATGTATACATACACTCAACTTTTTAATAATTATTTGAAATAATGTGCGCTATACAGTTAGTCTGTTTTACTGTATCGAAATTTGTACACATCAAATCCAAAATTTGGTAGTATTGTACACCAAATTTTAACTTTAAATTTTATTCATTGCTCGTGACTCAAGTGAATAATGACAAATGACCAGTTATTTGAAAAAGTGAAATGACCTATTGGGTTATTTGAAAAATATACTATATATTCCTGAAACTAAGCTATTTTTTTTAAAGAGCAATCTTGAGTAGCTTATTTTTAGGTTTTCAAAAATTTTTACTCGACAACAAGAGTAGCTTATTATCAGGTGTTTATTTTTAAAAAAATAAACTAACTATATGCATTGAAATTTAAACAGGTTTTGGAAATATTAAAACATAGTACCCATGCAATACTGGCTCTAATATGTACTGTATATACATACTGTATGTGTGTACTTATTAGATAAACAGCTAAACTGTTGATGTGAATTTATTGCTGCACCGTAATTGAGCTTTTATTTTTTTCGATTTATTTTTAATTTATTTTTTTTTTAATTTATTTTTATTTTTTCGATTTATTTTTTATTTTTTCGATTTATTTTTTATTTTTTTAATTTAAATTAATTTTTGTTTTGAAATTGGCATTGCATAATGTCGCTAAGGGAAAAGTTGCTATCAGTTTTCAATCAAATTTGTTAGAGATTGTGTCTGGTACGAAATATAATCGAAAGCCTGATTAACTAATGTGATTCTTATGACAGTTTTGCTAAAATTCATATTATGGAATGCAGGTATTAAATGTTAGCCAGTAGTACAACTCTATAATAAAAAAAAATGGTCAGGACTAGTGTTAGTAGTTGGTTTCTAAATATCGACCAACTAAGCCTATGATATAAAATTCAGTTAGTCGACTAGGCTGATTAAGTAGTATAAAAATAAAATTTTACATTTAAAATTCAGTTATTGATGATACATAAGTTAATAAAAAAACCGATACATATTTAATATATAAATAAAGTTCTTTATTATAATTAGCAATTTTTTCATTATTGGTTTCTTACTAATATGAATTGAAATGATTGCTCATTTCAGAGCACCATACTGTATATATACTGTAAATAGGCAGCTAACTAATAAAAAATTATTTAAGAAAAATAAAAATATTCAACTAACCTTTCTTTGCAAAAATCTGTTAAATTGAACTTGCTAAAAATAAGCAATTTTTTTACAGTGCTGATAATGTACTATTAAAATGCAAAATTTTGCAAATATAAGCACCTTATTAGTATTTTATTATTATAATTTAATTTTATAAATATATTTGTCAATTATTATGCTAATAAAATGCTAATATTAGCAATTTATTATTGATGTTTTAGTAATAATAATGGCTTAAAAATTACCATTATTTAACCAATTTATTTTGTATTTAAAAGTGCTAATAATAAAATAATCTTATAGTAAATTATTAAAATAGTTAACTTAGTACTAATAATGCACTTAATATTGCCTATTATTAGCAAAATAATTGCCTATCTCAAAATTATCAGTTTTTTGCAACATTTGTTTAATTGTATTCACATTTACTATATATTGAATAATGAATCTTCAAAAATGGTTTTCAATTTTGAGTATGATAATTTATAGAAAATCAACTAAGCCGATCTTTGAAAAAATTGATTGACTTAGCTAACTAAGTCGACTAATATGCTATCGACTACAAACACTAGTGTCATTAGTTATGGGGTCTTTGGCTCAATTTCACGTAGTTTGAACACTCACTTGCACTGGTGTATCATATCAGGCATTACCACCTCAGCAACATATACTATTTATTGTCTGGGGCATAGCAAAGGACTTACATTCTATGCTTTTTGATCAAAATGTCTGGATGATCTACACATGATATATTCATTAAATTATGATTGGGTAAAACTCTAATACTAGTGTGAGCCCCGAAATCTGAACCATTTACTGCAGCTCTGTACGACCTACGAACATGGGATCAAAGTGCAATTTATCTCATTTATCTGATATATCAAATATATCAAACATATCAAATATATCAAATATATCAAATATATCAAATATATCAAGCATATCAAATATATCAACATATCAAATATATCAAATATATCAAATACTGTATATCAAACTTATTGTAATACTGAATCTTTTATTATAAATAAAGACCATGAAGGCCCTAAGGAAAATAAGTTCCATTTGCTTACAATTATCATTCCCTAATAAAAACTACCAAATTTACCCATGAAACCCAAGTACCTAGATAAACTCGCTCTAATTGCCTTTTACCCTGATCGACCACTAGGTGGCATAGTAAAAGATCTTTGCTCAATACTTGTCTTGCCCACGTGACTTTGTTTTTCCAGTTGCTTCTTGACGGACTGAGGACTGCCATGGTTTTCCAACTATCCCAATGTACTGTGAACTAGTTGTGGCTGTTTTCCAGTTTCCCCAACAGACTGTGGAATCTGTGGTTATTTCATTCCGGCTTTGAGCTCAAGTGAAAGAACTCAAGCCGTGGTTTAGTTAGAATTATTTGAAGTTTGACAGTATAAGTGTAACATAACTAGTTTCTATATAAGTTATGAGAAGATAAACCTACGTCCAAAATCACCCTCGCCCAAATCTAAACGCCTCCACTTCGACTACGCCTAACGTAGGTTACACAAGGCCTCGATTTGATTAGCGACCAACTCGCCGTTTTAGGGTGGCACTAGACTTACTTTGATCAAAATGTCCAGATGTTCTTCACGTGATATATTTGTTAAACTATGATTGCGTGAAATTTTTAAAAACAATTCTGTATAATTTGCTCCGGACATTATAACCTAATTACTAAGAACGTTTATTCTAAGCAAACACTAAACTTACGTATCGATCCCTTTGGAATCGATATTATCATCCGGGTATTTGATTACCCAGTTACACGCACATACAAATAGACTTTAAATTAAATTCATGCATCAATGATCACAACACTTATGCAAATCCCGGGCATGATCGGTACCCGAATGCCTAACCTTAGCAATCCAAGTACAGGGGTGTTGGTCGTCACCACGACAACTAGTCGAGATCCTCGCATTAATTAAATAAGCTAAGAACTATAAATTTAGGTACTTGAGAGTACCCTAAGCCAAATAATTCTCATGCCTCTTGCTTGAGGTTAGTTCAGATGGTAGAAGATATTTTAAATATTATATGCGCATATATGCTTAGGGCTTATTCTTTGCTTTGTATGCATTATGAAAGACATATGAAATGAAACTGGTTCCAAAAATTAATTAATATTAAACTTTGATCTAACCGATATGTACTAATACCCAACCGAAATTGTCGCATTACCCGATTGTAGTATGTATAATGACCTAATGACCCAATGACTTTGGCCATTTATAAATAACCTATGTTATTTGGTCACGAGTCATTTTTAAATGACTCGCAAATTAGATTACCAAAAATGACCGGTCATTCTGGGGTCATTTGCAAAATAAGCAAATGACCAGGTCATTTACCATCCCTGATGTTATAATTATTCGGGTCCTGTGTGATCGATCACCTCATAATAAGACATTCATATGATTGGTTAATTTTTGTAGATCTACTCGTGATTTTCCGTGATAATTATTAATTAGAAAACGAAAGAAACTTCGTTTAAAGAAGCTTACAAACCAATAAATACACGCAAAAGAATTTATTATTTATATATAGAGAATAGATAGATACGCGTAAATGGTAAATATGATATTTATTACAAATAAACAAAAACTATTAAAGAACCTACATAAATTAAAACTTTAACTATTAATTTATGGTCAACAAACTCACAAGAACCGACAAAATTTAAATATTAAGCCCGAATCTTTTTTGCTAAAGAGCTTGTACCATATCAAGTTAAATAGTTAGAATAAAAGTCTATTTAAATCTAACGTAATGAAATAGTTTTAGACAAAAAGGTTTCTGATTACCTTCACTCTACAGTGTAATTTGATATGGTCCAATAAACGGCAGTCATTTTTTGCCTTCTAAGTAAAGTTCGTGGGGATACTGATTATTACTGATTATTTTTGCATAGTGAATATAGGCGTACTCGAATCGAAAAATGGCTTTTGCGGTTATTTTTTGTTAGTGAAACATTGTGTTTCAAAAAGTACTTTAAAGTGTATAATGACTTACCCGAGCAATTGATTTACATCAGCCAATTTGACGAATGTCCTATGAAAATCTCTACCTTGACATAAGATTTTATTGGTTAAAAATGATATAATTACTTACTGTCAGATGTATGATCTGTATTACACCTGGTCAAGCTATTTGATAGGTGATACGAATGTGCTTGGACTCGTCCAAAAAAACATTACCCAGATGATCGACGGATAAATTTTTCAGATGATAACCCGGGTAGAATAAGAGATCACATAACGTAGACCAATCAGATCGCAGAATTTACTTATCATCTTTCGCTATACAATCAAGAAACTTTATTATTAAAAAAATACATTTATTTAGAGTTCCAATCCGGATCAATCCGTCATCCATTTATCCGTAAAGCTACATCTTTGTACCACTTTAGCTAAGCATTAAATAACCGCTATTCTCCAAACAATTAAAGTTAATATTTTTTTAGCGCATGATTTTTTTCTTTAGATAAAATGGATTCTAAACAATTTCGCGATCTTTGGTTACGATAATCAATATGTTAAAAAAGACAAAAAGAAGACTTTTGAGTATTATATGAAAGGAGCTGAGTTAGGTGATTCGGCAACGATGAATGATATTGGTCTTTGTTATCGTCATGGAATTGGAGTAGTGTAACCATCGTAAGGGAGAGCTTAGTATTATGATGCCGAGTTTAACTCCGATGGTTGACGTTAGAAGGGTCACATGAATTGGGCAATAAACTATGGTATTCGGGTATTCATGATTTATTAGGCATTTATTATAAAAAAGAGTGTGAATATATGTGACCTTTATTTATTGAGGAATTTTGAGAGCGAATGTTATTCTCAACTAAGGATGAAGATACATTCTTATATACATTCTAATTTTACAGATGGTCAACATCAGGATCTCAATGCTTACGCTGTAGATTCCACATTTACTCAAGGCGCAATGATTACAAATTAATGCAATCGCGTATACGCTCTACTTTAAACGTAAACGCTCTATTTTGAGCGTAAACGCTCTTGCATGAATTAAGCCACCAAGAATACATAATTATGCCTAATACTACTAAGTTAAGATTAACGTGACTAGGATGGTACAATCAGTGTTGTACATGGACATATGTCCAAGCAAATTATTGGACATGGACAGTCCATGGACACAATGTCCAATGTCCATGGTAATGATTTGAACCGGGTAAAAAATTCCTAATCGGTTAACCGAGTTAACTTATCTGGATACAATCGGTTTAACCGTATTGTTTCGGTTAGATCGGTTGACCCGGGTCAACCGAATTAGTCGGGTCAACCGAATTATCCGGGTTAACCGAATTAGCCGGTTAACCGAGCTAGTCGGGTCATAAGTTAACCAGGTTAGCTGAGCCAACCGAATTAACAGGGTCAACAGAGGCTCAAAAAATCTATACATATCTCTAAGCCACAAAAATTGATGTCGGGTCAACAGGTCAACCGATTATATCTGGTCAACCGATTATGTCGGGCCAACCGATCAACCGATTATATCGGGTCAACCGAATAACCAGATTAACCGGTTAAGCATTTGCTTAACCGGATCACCCGATTTTTTCGGTTCGGTTCGGTTACCCGATTATGGTCTAACCGGTTCACATCATTAGTCCTAATTCATATGTTTCATCAACACATGGGCTTTATAGGTATTATCTAGTAATTTAATAGTTGTAGTTGATTAGGAGAAATTCTTAATCCAAATGCTGATGTATACAATAAATATGCACTCACAATCTGATTATTAACAAATATATAATTGATTAGAGGATAATTTGTTAAGCAAAAACATCAATTTAGTAAATTTAAATGAACACTTACGAATATTTAAAAATAATTGATCAAAATTTTATTTAGTTTATATTGCATAAACATCATTCAAAAAAAAATACATATATATTATGCTCACTCCCTAATAAATCAACGTGTATACAGTTGATTAAAGAATTAGAGAATATTAATTAGAGAATATAATACTCTTGAAAGAAGAATAACTTTATATTTACTTTTCATAAATTTTTATAATAATTTTTGATGCCCATTCATGATTTGCTTCAATTTTCAGTAATTTATTCACATCATCGAATGATTCTTTATATTTTCCCATTAGATAATAGGTTTCTCCTCGATATCTTAGTGCAAATTTGCTGTTTGGTTCAATATCAAGCAATTTTGTTAGATCAATAATTGCATCCTCATATCTTCCCATGATAAAATTAAATTTTCCTCTAAATTTAAGAGCAATATCATGTTTGATTTTCAGCGAGTTTTCTAAATCTTCAATTGTGTACATATTCGTCGCATTAATGCACATATTAAACACTTCGATCCATTTTGCTTTCAATAATTCATCATCTATATCATCACTAGTAGGTGCTATTTGCAAAAGAATTGTTGTATTAAATTACAAATTAAAGAAACCATATATTTACAACTATTCAATATTACCTGCATATTTAAATTTTCTACTACCGAAATTTACTTCTATAGATCCACCCTGCGACCTCAATCCAACACAAGGATACAAGATGCCTTTTAAATTACGGAATAGAATACCTTAAAATTACGTTATAAAATTTAAATTAACGTGATATGTAGGTATAAACAACAAATCCATAAAGTTTTGCAATATCCACCTAGGTTTATGCCATTTTTTGTATAGAATACAGTATTATTTTTAAAATTTAAACAACATCCAATGGTATCGCCGGTAGAAAATGACGGTCCATATGGATTGAAGCTTCCCGAGTAAAGGAAGTTACCATCATCTCCGTGATAACCCCAGGAACCATTATCCCACCCTATGAAAAATATTATGAATGAATATATTCAATATGTAAAAAAACAATTAAAGTTTTAATCACCAGGCATTGTATTTAAATTAACCGCTTTTTCGCAAAATCCAATTCCAATAATTCTTTTGAATAGAAGTATGTAAAGAATTATAAGCGAAATTTAAATAAATTTATTTAATTTTATGGCAATACGTACTTATTTTTTCCTTCATATATTATGTCGACTTCAAAATAAAATAAATTGCATTGCGGTGGAATTGGATGATTTGCCCGTACTGCACCGATTTCTTTATTGCTTTTACCCAAACCTATTTTAAATTGTGTTAATTCAGAAATGTTAAATCACTTTCCATGCTAGCCTAATAAATAGTCTCATTAGCGACGAGCAAATGCACGTAGTTATGCGAAAATTTATTGAGAATTTGAGCAAGCCAAGCATAATGCAGATAAACATTTCATGCGTATGGAAAAAAGTCAATTTGCCTATCGCTAAGACCCACCTTCATAATTCACTCTAAGCCCGCTCGAATCTACGCTCAAAAAAGTAGATTTATCATCGAGATTCCAAGCAGTTGGTAAATCCATGAATTGCGTTAAGAGTAGGGTAACTTTTTTAAATTTATTAATATAAAATTAATCCCTAATTTTTTTATCTTTTATGTTCGAGTTTTATTACGAAATTTGTTTTAATTACTAATTTTGTAAATAAATTTGTAGTGAGTTTTCTGATTTTGACAGTGATAAAAAAATTTAAAGATTAGGTATTAAAATTTTATAATTCAACAAAGCTTATTAAAAAATTAAAAGGTATTATTTATATATTGAAAATATAGTAAAGCT